CATGTGTCCAGATGTGCTGGGCATGCATGTGCACGCACATGCACGTGACACTGTCATGCATGAAGAGCAGCGCAGCTGGCTGGTGTCAGAGAAGTCGGTGCCTTCTCGTTTGGGCTTCTCCATCCGCTGTCGGGGCTGTCCTGGCTCCCCCTTGCCCCTGGAGCCAGCAGGAGCAGGTGGATGATAGCCCTTTAGGAGACACCCCCCCCCCCCCCCAACCTTTGTCACCCAGGGGATGCCTCGTGTGTGTGCCAAGTTCCCCATGCTCCCAGCGGAGCGGGCAGGTGCTCCATGCAGCACAGGCTGCTCTGCCTTGCTCTTGCCACTAGCGACCCCCCCTGGCTTTACCCACTTCGGCCTCCTTGCCCCTCAGCTCTGGCTCCGGTGGCTTCGGAGGGCCCCATCCAGCCCGGGCAGCGGGGTGCTAGGCTGCATCTGGGTGGGGCCCAGCCCCTTGGCTCCTGCTGTCACCCGGCTCCCCCCTCCCTTGGCGACAACCTCGTTTTCACAGTAATTGCTGCATTTAAAACCAGCCAGGCTGAGGAATCGGGAGTGGGGATGGGTGGGGGGCTGCGTGGGGGTCTCTTGTCGCCGGCCCTTGGCACATCCGGCCTCATCTCCAAGCCACGGGGCTGGAGCAGAGGCGGCATCATCGTATCTATGGTGCGGGTCTGGTCCCCGGCACCAGGGCATCCTGACTCCCCCTGTCCCCAAGGTAGGGCTTTTCATTTTCCTCCCTGTGTGGACACACTTACTCCAGAGTAAGATCCCCTTGCGGCGAATGAGCCCGATGCAGGTCCAGCCTGGATGCAGCGGGCTGGGGAGCAGGGGGCCCTCATTCCAGACCTGCGTGGGTGACCAGTGTTATTTGCCCCCTGCTCCAACCTGGGGTAACTCAGCCGAGCAGAGGAGCCTCATGCCTGCAGCCCGGCCTGGCAGACAGACGGGACCGCCGGTCTCCAGGGGACCGGGTACACGGTCCATCAGCCTCTCCGTGCTCCGCGGCCATGGCTCTCTGCCCCCCTCCATGATCCCTGTTGCGACGCGGGCCCCGGAGCGCAGAACGACCTTGCTCAAGGTCCCACTGCGCCTCCTGTCACTTCCTCTGCCTCTCTTTCCTTCCCCGCTCCCGGACGCGCCGTTGACAGCTGCATTATTGCTACCTGTGCTTACAGCGCGTCGGGAGACGGACAGCTGTAGGGGCCGCGCGGCGCTCTGTCACCCGCCCGGCCGGGTGCTTTACTGCCGCGCTCTTGGGATCTGCCGTGCAGAAAAGGGCCTCATTCATCAGCTCCGTCACTGCTTCCGACTCGCCGCCAGGACGAGACGGAGACAGGGCCCGCTGAGGCGCTGATGGAGAGGGCTGGCTCCATGCCCCGCGGGCGCGGAGGCGATGCTTTCTTGGTGCGGGCACCCTGGAGCGAACTGAGGCAGGACCCACAGCTCCCTCGGTCTGGGGCAAAGCTGAGCCCTAGCTGCTCTCGAGACGTATCGGGGAGACGGTGCCTGCCGGCCGGCCTGGCAAAGCATCTTCCATCCTCTCTGGGATTCCCGGAGAACTTGGCAGCAGGCTGGAGGGGTCCGTCCTGCTCTGCAAGGCTGAGCGTGGCTCCCCCAGGCTGCTGCCCCATGGTTCACAGCTCTCGGTCCCGGCATCTGGGGCACTGTGGTGCATGGCTCTGTCTGCACATGGCTCCAGCTCCATCATTGCATGGTCGTGGTGTTTTGTCCCCTCTTGTCCCTGCCCCTTTGATTTCCAGCTTCAGTGTAGGCACAGCCGGTTCGCCCTGTTTGCTCCACTGGCAGATGTGTCCTGTGGCCCCTGGAGCCCTAGAGAAGCGGGGCTGGCAGGGAGCTGCAGGGTCACACCCAGTCCAAGGCAGGATTGGCCCCGTCCAAACCAGCCCAGACGAACCCCACGTGTGACCTCGGAGCCGGACGACACAGTCGCCCCTGACACAGCCCCGGCATCGCCCCCACCCCTGCCCCTGGGATACAGGGGGGCCGCGGCTGCCAACATCCTGCTGCTGCCAGGGGGGTCATGGGCGCTGCAGAGAGCCCAGGCTGAAACCGTGCCCCCATTGCAGAGGAAGGGGAAACCCCGCAGTGCAACCAGTGTGAGCAGGGGGAAATCCCTTCCTGCCCCAGTGCAGCGTGGGGCTGAGCCTGAGCGCCGGGGCAAGACCCTCCAGCCAGGACCCTGCGGGGTTGGTGCCAGCAGGAGCATTGGCACGGCCCAGCCCCATCACTAACACCCAGCGCCTCTGGGGGAGGCTTCAAAACCCCCTGACACATGGAACAGCAGATGGGGGAAAAATTTCCTCCCGGCCCCCAGCCAGGCTCTCGTCACCGCCCCGCGGCTCTCCGTTGCCAGCCCCTCTGGCCCAGCTGGCCACGCAGTCGCCGGTGCTGCAGGTGCAGCTTTCTCAGGGGTCCGAGGAGCCTCGGGAATCTGCCTTAGGATCACAGGAAAGTCGAAGCTTGCACGGCCACGTCCAGTCCAGCCCCTGCGCCGGGCAGGATTGGTCCAGCCCCGGATCCGTCCAATGTGCTGTGGAAAACTCCCGAGGAGGGAGATTCCCGTGTGCCTCCAGGTGCCTGTTGCAATGCTGGACCCCCGCAGGGTTTCTCCTCATCTCCAGCCTCAGTTTTCCCTGCTGCAGCTGGAGCCCGTTGCTCCTAGTCCTGTCCCCCGCGGCCACAGAGTAAAGCCCGTCTCCGTCCTCTGTCCTCGCCCTGCAGGGATGCGCAGCCTGCGATCGTATCCCCCCTCCGTCGTCTCTTCTCCGGACTGACTCACCCCAGCTCTGGCAGCCTGTCTTCCTCCGTCCTGCTTCCCAGGTCCCTAATCGTTGTTGTCGCTCCGTGCCTGGACTCTTGCCAACCTGTCGACATCCTCCTGCCTCTCCCCCGTCTGCCTCGCGCAGGGCAGGAGCTGGGAGGGGAAGGCCCAGCCGGAGAGCTCCTTATTCCCCCTGGGCCTGTCTGCGGCGGTCCCTGGGGACGGGAGGTGATTAAACCAGGCTTCTGCCTTGGAGACACCAGTCTTTTTGCAGCAAGGCGCTGGGCTAATGGTCGCCTGGGGCTTACTCGCAGGCAGGTGCCTGTCCGGGCCTTGGTAGTGCCACCTGCACCACTGAGGTGCAGGCCTAGGGACAAGCTTGGCGCTGGAGGGGATTTGGTCGGGGTCTCAGCGTGGCGTACAGCAGCGCCTCTGCTCTGTGCGGGATGGGGCTCTTGCAGCGGAGACACTCAGAAGCTGCGATGGTGACCAGCATTGACGCCTGGGGTGCAGCAGACGCGTGGGTCGGGGGCTGCCTGTGCCCCTCGAGCGCAGGGCGACGCGTGCGGGCTTGAAGCCCTTGCTGCACCTGGGTGGCGCTGGCCCGTGGGCGCTGCAGTGGAGCCTTCCTGGAGGCGGCTCAGAGGTGTTGGGGGCCCTCCGTGTCCCGGGCCAGCTGGGTCTTGCTCTCCGCTCCCGGTGGTGCCATCCGTGCCCTTCTGGTGTGTGCTTGGTGCTGGCTGGCAGCTACAGCATCGCTGGGGAGCGCTGGGCCTGACACCCGGCTCTGGCATGTGCAGTTAAATTTGTGGGGTGCCAGCCTCTGCTGCGGGCATGCGGGGACTTTCATCTTGTCCTCGCTGCTTCCCTGGGGCAGCCTGCGTTCAGGGGAGGAGCCCCGGAGCCGTCTGGTGACATGCGGGCACGGCCGAGCTGCCAGTGGGGAGTGGATCATGCTCCGTGGGGCCTTCCCCAGGCCTGTGCCCCTCTGCCCGAGCCTGCTTCCAGCTCCAAGCTCCAGGCAGCACCTTCCCCCTCCCCGCACCTGGAGTCTGGCTGCAGACGCCACGTGCCCGGTCAGCTGCAGTCCTCGTGGCCTCGGGTAATTTCTGGCCTCCATTGTCTGGCTGGAAGGACCAAAGGGACTGTGCCTTGCTCCTGCTGGGACTCGGACCTGAGGGTCCTGGCCTGTTTTCAAGCCAAGGCGCTGGGTGCTGCAGCCCGGGCTGGGCTACGCCAATGCTCCTGCTGGCACCAACCCCGCAGGGTCCTGGCCGGAGGGTCTTGCCCCTGCGCAGAGCCCCACGCTGCACTGGGGCAGGAAGGGATTTCCCCCCTGTTCAGACTGGTCGCACTGGGGGTTTTGCTTTCCCCTGCGGCGGGAGCTCGGCCTGGGCTCTCTGTAGCGCCCACGACCCCCTGGCAGCAGCAGGACGTTGGCGGCTGCGGCCCCCCTGCTTTCCTGGGGGCAGGGATGGGGGCCATGACTGAGGCTGTGTCAGGGTGACTGTGTCCTGTTGCTCAGGGGTTTGTCTGGGCTGGTTTGGACGGGGCTGATCCTGCCTCGGGCTGGGCATGACCCCGCAGCTCCCTGCCAGCCCCACGGCTCTGGGACACGTATAAATGGGTTCGAGGCTGGAGCGGAGCCTCGGCCTCCAGCTGCACCCCCACTTCTCTTGCAGCCCTCAGCGGGTTTCAGATGCCCTCCGTGCCTGGCCGGGCCTGCTCTTGTGGCAGAGCAGTGGGCGCTGGGCTCCACAGGGATGAAGAGGAGCCCTTGCAGCAGGAGGAGCCGCTGGCACGTGGCACTGATGCCCATCTCCCCATCCCTGATTTAGGCTCTTCCTCTCCCCCTTGGGCAGCCCGGAGACTCACCCACACGCTTGCTCTGCTCCCGTTCCCTGCTGGTGCCCCTCATTCCTGACCTGCACGTGGGTCCCGCTGGAGGCTTCAGCCGCCAGCAATTCAGCCCCCAGGTCTCGAGTCGGGTCCTGGCGCTGGGAGCTGCAACGAGAAGTTTGCAGCCACGTCTGGGCATGGCATCTTCCCTCCCCCCTGCCGCGGCCGGGAATTCAGAGTCTGGTCACCAGGAGCTAGGAAACCAGAGGGGTGACCCCTGGGCTGGGAGGGCGCTGGCTGCTCCCTGGAGCTGCCAACATCTCCCATGGGTGCCCGTGAAGCCACGTAGCTGACCCAGGCTGTTCTCTGTCCTTTCCAGGCATCGAGTGCCCCCGCGGGGCCCGCAACCTGCCCGGCCTGGTGCACGAAGGGGAGCCTTTCAGTGAGGACGCCACACTCTTCACCAAGGAGCTGGTGCTGCAGCGGGAGGTAAGGCCTGCCCCTGCGCCGTCTCAGATGACCCCGTCGGAGGCCCCGACGTGTATTTGTGGAGCCAGGCGAGTGGTGCCGGCAGGTCTCGTTCCCTCCAAGGCTCCTCGCTCTGTCAGCGAGCGGCGTTTCCTGGCACGTGTCCGTGGCCAGGCTGGGGTGGCCTGAGCCGGGGAAGCAACCCTGCCCCTCTCGGCTCTCTGGGCATCTCTGTTGTGTCGGGGGCAGGGGAGCTACCTTGGCACCGAGCCCTTCTCTGCGTTGTGAGCAGGTCTGCAAATCGCGGAGGTATCCGTGTTGCCTTGGCCCCAAATCTCCTGTCCGCAGCCTGGCAGCGGTGGGGCAGAACAGGACGGGTGGACAGCGCTCTCTCTGCTCTGAATGGCGTCCTAGCGTGTGTCTGGGCATCTGGGAGGGCTCGGCCAGGCGGCTGTTTGTCTGCGGAGGGGGTTTAGCTCAGGCTTGCCCAGTGCTGGGGTTAGCAACTCGCACCTGCCCTCTTGAGCACCCTGCAAGCTTGGCCAAGCTCCTGACGCGCTCCATAGTGAGACTGTGACTGACCTCATGCACAACCAGCCCCTGGCCCCTGCCACGGCCCCAAACAAGTACAGCGGCGGCTCCATGTCATAGACGGGCCACGCACACTTGCACACTTGCACGCGTGCAGCCGAGCGCACTGCAGGGGTTCGAGTGGCTGGGGAAGGAAGCGTGAGCCGGCTCCAGAGAGAGGGAGGGAGAGAGGCAGCGCCGGGCACCCGGCGAGCTGGCTGGCAGGCGGGCACGTGGCTGTGCGGGCACGTGGGCGGGCGGGGAGGCAGCGTCTTGGCGAGGGGCCGTGTGAGTCACGCTGCCGTGGGCGCCGGGCCTCGGGGCTGCCCCCAGGAAGGGGAGGGAGAAGGAGCAGGAGCAGGGACGGGGGAGGCGAGCTGGGACTCGGCACCGTGGGTCCTGCTGGGGCCGGGCATGGCTTGGGCTGGGTCTTGCCAGGCTCTTCCAGGATGCAAAGAAGGAAGCTCTCTCCTCTGCGCTGGAAAGCTGCTGCTGAGGGGGGTTGGGTAGAGACACCCTACAGGGACCCCCCCAGACGGTGCTCTGTGCAGGGGAGACTTGTCCCCACCTCCCCGCCCGGGAAGGGGCAGCAGCAGCAATTCCTGCCAGGCGCCAGCTTCCAGCCAGGCGTGGGGTGGGGGAGCGGCGATGCCTCCACCCCCGGGGTCCGGCCACACGCGCCCCCAAGCAGCCGGCAGCAGAGATGTGTAGCGTGCCCCAAGGAAGGTGAGAGCCCTGCAGCGAGTGCTTGAAGCTGCCCGTTCCTCGTCCCCCCATACGGCCCTGGGAAAGCAGGGGGGTCACGGCCGCCAATGTCCTGCTGCTGCCAGGGGGGTCATGGGCGCTGCAGAGAGCCCAGGCCGCGGCCGTGCCCCCGCTGCAGGGGAAAGCAAAACCCCCCAGTGCGTGCCAGTCCGAACAAGGGGGAAATCCCTTCCTGCCCCAGTGCAGCGCAGGGGCAAGACCCTCCAGCCAGGACCCTGCGGGGTTGGTGCCAAAAGGAGCATTGGCACAGCCCAGCCCATCCCCAGCCTGGGCTGCACCCAGCACCTCTGGGGGAGGCTTAAAACCCCCTGACTCATGGAGCAGAAAGCTGGGGAGCAGCTAGCCCAGCACCCTGGGACACTCCCACAGCAGAGCCCGGACATCGCTGCGGCTAGATCCTCCCGGCCCAGTGCCCGTCCACCCTCTCCCTAACACCTCCAGTGCGGCAGAGTCTCCCCCTCCCTTGGCAGCTCTCCGGCAGCCTCCCTGCTCCGGCAGCGAAGGCTGTTTAGCGCGTACAAGACAGCGCCCAGGTAGGGAGGTCCCTACCGCTTTGCTGTGCTAACCGCCTTGCTCAGCAGCACCGCGTCGATGCATGATTGAGCGCCCCCCTCCCCGTGTGCCTCGTCTGATGTGCGAGCGCTACGCTTACTTATTCATACCCCGCGCGCTTCGGGGACGTGTCAGGCAGCGGCACGCCGGCTCCGAGCCATGCAGCACCGGGGAGTGGAGGCCAGCGCTGGCTTTGCAAGCAGCCCCACGTGCGCTGGGGGGTGCGGGGCATCCGGCTCCTGCTTCTCTGGGATGCCCACGTGGGCTTTTCAGGGCCCTTTGAGCTGGAACAGGGAGGCACGAGGCCAGAAAAGGCTGGCAAGGAGGGGCATGGGGTGGTGACACCAGAGGGTGGAAAAGCCTCTTTGGAAGCAGTGCCAGGGCCTGGAGGGGTCTCCTGTAGGACACAGCTGGGGGGTTGCAGCCCTCGGAGAAGCACTCGCCTACTCATCTCCTCCCAAAGTGCCCAGGCCAGGCAGGGGGGTCTCGTCTGGGCAGCAGCTGCCCTACGTGGGAGAGTTTGGGGGGTCTTGGGCAGGTCACGCCAGCCCCGTGATCTCTGTGCACAGGGTCAGGTGGGGAGGTCCTGGGGACCCCTCTAGCGCTGAGCTCTCAGGGACATCAGTGCATCCTGGGGGTCTCTGGAGCGTCCCTGAACCCCCCCAGCAGCAGCAGGATGTTGGCGGCCGCGGCCCCCCTGCTTTCCCAGGGGCGGGGGGGATGCCTGGGGCTGTGTCAGGGTGACTGTGTCGTGTGGCTCTGAGGTCGGACACAGGGTTTGTCTGGGGCTGATCCTGCCTCAGGCAGGGCCTAGACTGGATGTGACCCCGCAGCTCCCTGCCAGCCCCACGGCTCTAGGATGTGACCCCAGCTCCAGCTGGCATCCACCCGCCAGGTCTGGAGGGGCCCAGGGCGAGCATCTCCGCCGCTGCAGCCATGGTCTGGTCCGGTTTCCTTTCTGCCAGGGTGGGGGAGATGTGCCTCCAGGGACCCTTCTCACGTCCAAGCACCTCCCCGGGCTGTCTCATTGACCCTCCTCATTTTTGCAGCACAAGTGACTTGCCTGAGGTTGTGCGGGAAGTCGGTGTCAGAGGCAGGGCCGCTGCATCTCTCCTGCTGCCGGCTCCCAGACCCGGTCCAACCCTGAGCAGGGCAGTCTGGGCGCAGGGGCCTGGTGTGCCGTGAACCCCTGCTCCGGCGTCCCGTGTTCGGTGTGCCCGGCGCTTCTCATATCCCACGCAGCACGCGCCTCCCAAAGTGCCAGGGCCAGGCAGGGCAGCCACTGGGCAGGGTTTGGGGGGGGGGTACGTGGCGCCTGTGATTGCAGCCTGCCCGAGCCAGCGAGCCGGGAAGACGGGACAGGAGCTCAGCGCCCGCTGCATCCCCGACCTTTCCATGCCAGGGAGGCCCCACGAATGCACTCACCCCTGCTAGACCATACGGGATAACAACCTACTATCGCCGCTGGCAGCGGCAATCTGTGCCAGAGGCCCTGGGTGCAGCCCCCAGTCGTGCCCTTCCCCAAGACACCCGGGCTGCATTTTAATCGATCCATCCCATTCCAGCGCAGCCCGGGGGAGAGGTGGGGGTCCAGCTGACGCCCCGCGGCATGGATTTGGGGGCGTCCCCAATCATTTTAGGACGGGGTCAGCAGCTCCGAAACCCTCATCCTAAAGAAGATGGAGCAGGGCTGGGGCGGGGGTTTCCCTGCCTGGTCTCATGCCAGGCCCCCAGCCCCGGAGCGGGCAGGGCATCGCCCGTAGGGAGCCGTGGGCTGGCGCTGACGCCCGAGGGGCTCGTCTCTCCGAGGGCCGGGGCTGAGATTTGGCAGCTCGCTGCACACAGCGCCGGCGTCGCCGACTCAGCGGGTGGAGGGGGCCGGTGCGCTGCACCCGGCCCACGCCCACG